GTGTATGTGCGCATGCTCTTTAATCGAGAACTCCAATGCCGATCGGGTATTCTATCGACAGGCTTAATTTCAACAATTAAAGTTTAAATAAATTTGCATACATATGACCGGTATATAAGAAACTTTGAATTATGATTATTTGAATTGAAATACAGGAATAGGAATTCTTTTGAAAAGAAGATACTACAACCATGCCGGTATTAAAAACAACATACCGGTACATTTGTATTTTGACTATTGAATGTGATCAGATTCTGTATAGTAGTACAGTTGTAGGCTTAAGATGTGTATAAGAGACAGGCTCTAAATCTAACAACACTTTAAGATATGAATGCAACACTTTTATGAATGCAACATATTAACAGTAGAATAATAAGATACTGCATTCTAAAGAGTCAACAATCTGTGTATATTATACGTAACTAGCACCACCAACACAGCGCTGGCTCGACGTGCACGGTTCTCGGCGTGCACACATCTCTCAGTCAGTATACAGTCCCTAGGCTAGTAGTACTAACACATCACAATTATTAGCTATGCAAGCCTACATATTATTAACAACAGAACTGATAGCTTACCGAAGATTTGTGGCTTCTAATAACTTATCCCCGCCTTATAGGGCAACGTTTTTACATAAATCAAACCAGGTTTCTTCACTTCTGTAATTCGAACTAATCAACAAGTACCGCCATGACTTCTCTTCTTCATAGCAAGTGCGCCCTCATTAGTTAAGAGATTTATACTATAGATAACTCATTACAGTGCGGTTGAGAGAACTGGGTATGTTACTTCTTCAGTCTCAGAAAATAGTGGAGGAATAGGCCCAGTTGACAGAAGCAAAGACATCATTTCCCCATCTACTTCATTAACATCATGAATTAAAGGTATAGTTGGTATAAATGAAAAATTGGCCTCTGGGGTAGGTGGTTGACTTGAAGGTGCTGGGAACATCACTTCATCACGGCATACATCAGAAGGAGTAGTCAGTGATACCTCTGTTTCTTCTTCATTGGCAGTAGGGAATTTTGGTGTATTGGAAGTAAGCTGTGAAAAATTGGAATTGTGGTTATTACATTTATCTGATAATGTAAAATGATCGTAACAGAGGAAGCATAAGCAAGTTGGACATGCTGCCCAAACCTCTTTTCTACAAGTGAAATTATCACAGGATGCTGGACGGTGCTCGTTTGAAGGTCTTGTTTCTTTTGGACTGTTACGGCTTCCTGTAATAGATCAAATAAAACTGTAATTTAAAATAAAATATGATATACACTATTACAATGCAGACATTTGTGTAAGAATATCTATTAAATGCATAACCCAGGAGCTTTAGATGTGCTTTACATACACTAAAAATATACAGTTAAATGTTACGTATATTTGTATACATAAAAAAATGGGAAAACAGTCAAAATGAATACACCTTTACCAGAGTATGTAATTATAGCTTGGAAAAGGGAACTAGAAACACACTTATTTTTGCACAGATGAAATAATTAATATAAGAATCAAACTTTGTTTGTCTTTTGTGTAGACTTTTCAAATACCTTGGCGGAAACTTACCTTCATGTGTGTTACAGTATGTTGCAATGGGGACGTCGTCAGATTCAGAGCCTGATGAACTGGATTCCGATTCAATTTCAATTATTATGCCGTTCCATTTCTCCTTTCCCCATAGCATTGACACCTTTGATCCTTTTTTCAGTTTTGACGGCGAAATCAAGTCTTTGGCTGAGACCACATTTTTTGACTTATCCTTGTCCCACTGTACAAGTACATCAATGTCTGAATTAAAACTAAAAAAGAAAATACAATTGCACATGTACAGTAAGATGCAAGTACAGTAGTACATAAAACAGAATGCTCCAATCACTGAATACAGCTAAAAAACTGTAATTGCCAAAAACAAAATTTACAAAATTTGTTGATAGGTATAACTACATCAATATTAAACATTGTACATTTTAAAGCATTAAATAATTGTAACATCTCTCATAATATTGTACAGACATCTTTGTTTGTAGTGTATTGAGTTTCGTATCTGCAAAGAGAGGTGCTATAACGGGAATAAATAAAAGTCTATAAACATGCATGCAAACCCATGTGAAGGTCTGAGCATAATATATTGCTATTATTGATGTTAAAAATAATATAGTATGGCAAGTCATATACTAGAATTAAATTCTAATAAAACATACCGGTTAAGAGAACGCAATTTTCCCATGGTAGATTTAGGAGACTGATATACCTGGCCTAAATCTTATAATTTATAGGCTGCCCTCTTTCTTGCTTCGTCGTCACCAACGAACTGAAATAGGAAATAAATAATAATAGGCCTAATTAATAGTAACAGTATTTATTTTTTTACTGCTATTCTATGTATGTTTAGTAGTAAAGCAGTACTACTACTAGGGCGTACATAAGCGCAATAGGATCACTACTAGACGCATACACAATTCTCTTACTTACCTACTACTACTACTTGACCTACCTAAGTCTAGCCTAGGGCCTAGGCTTATATATACTACTAGCTAGTCTAGGCCCAGGCCTATTTATAGACCTAGGGTAGGTCTACTAAATAGGCCATAGCTGTCATCCCTGTTATCCTGCCTAGTTACTAGATCAACCAACTTATATAACTGTCTCTTATACACATCTATCTTACTGTTTGTGGTTCATTCTTTTTTACCTGAACTTGCATAAACTTAGTCCAGTCAATGTTTTTGCCGGACTCAGCATAACGCACTCTAAGTATTCCTTTCTTTTGGCTTAATGTCTTCCAATCTTTGATATCGGCTGATTTTGTAGGAATTACAGTATATGGCTTTGGACGTTTTCTAGCCATGCTGATGATACTCACAACCTGAAATGGTAAAGCAATTTCCGACACTTGGTTGATTGCTCTTTCTATGGTACTATGAATTGAGTCTCCTTCAGACTGAACATGGTTAGTTTCGAAGAAATTGAGGGTAATCTCTTGGA